GGATTTGGGGGGGTTTAAAATTAGAATTTGGGGGTGGGGAGAACTGGAGGTTTGCACTTTGCTCTGGTGGGCTCTTTAAATGAGATATGTGCCAGCTCTGCCCTCACCAGTTCTGAATAGGGTTCTCCATTCTCAAACACGCAGGCGGATGTTGGCAGGGATGAGATGCAGGCGCCTGACCTGGAGACGGAGGATGCGTGGCTCGCGGTCGAAGGGCCCATCTCCATCGTGGAACTGGCCCTGGAGCAGAAGCCCATCCACTACCCGCTGGTGGAGCACCACTCCGTCCTGTGCTCCATCCTGTACGCGGTCATGCGGTTCTCTCTCAGGGCCGTGAAGCCACTGTCGCTTTTCGACAGTAAGGCAAGTACCTCAGGACCAGAGCCGCCTGGGAGCTGGGGTAGCAGGTGTGAGCGGGACCATCACGGTGGGTCCTCTCCTCCCATCACACTCCCGGGGCAGAAGGGGTGGGCCTGGGACGAGAGCCCGTGGCTTCCGGTTCAGCGGCCACTCTGCTCTGTTACATTTCCTTCCGAGGAACATGAACCCTGGATTCTGCTTTGGCTCTTCAGACACACATCTGCTCTCGAGCAAGGTGTTTTTAAAAGGATTCAGAGTACATACTGAGTATTAGTTATCTATTATTGCATGACAGAGTATCCCAGAACCGAGTGGCTGGAGACCAGAGCTGATTACCATTTTTGTGAGCCGAGAATCTGGGTTCTCCTTTCTGGGCGTGTTTCTGGCTCAGAGTCTCTGAGTCTGCAGTAGGCAGGCGGCCGGGGCTGTGGGAGGGGTCCAAGCTCACATGTAGGCAGGATTCAGTTCCTCTCCCACAGGCAGCTCGCTTGCCTCAGAGCAGGCGGGGACAGGAGCACCCAGGCCGAGGCCACAGCCCTTTTGTAACCTAACTTGGAAAGTGACCCGCTGTCATGGCTGCCCAGTTGCTTGCTAGCAGCGAGTCACCAGCCACGAGTGACTGCCAGGAGGAGGGGTCCCTGGGCACCGCCTACCAGATAAGTGTTCTTGTTGGAGGAGGAAAAACATCAACCACAAGGTAGTCTTAAATGCTTTTTAATCCATACTCATGTTTTCTTGGTCTCTTCTTTCTCTTTAGGGGAAAAATGCATTTTTCAAAGACCTAACTTCAATTCAGTTACTACCCAGTGGAGAAATGGATCCAAATTTCATTTCTATACGACAACAGGTAAATTAGTTACTGGGCTTTGTTTTTGTTTCTTGGGGAAAAGGTAGTAAA